CTAGTTAACGGTTCGACCACGGATGAGAAGTTCCTACAAAAAGCTCGGTAGTAACCAGCTAGGCCGAGGAACGAGCGCAACGCCTTACGAGTGGTTGGAACTGGACTCGAGGCAATAGCTTCCACTTTTGCCTCTACTGGCCGAACTTGACCTTGACCGACTTGACGGCCTAAATAGGTCAAAGTGGCCTTCCCAAATTCACACTTAGCAAGATTTATGGTAAGGTCGGCTTCAGCAAGGCGAGAAAACACTTCGGAGAGGGTGGACATGTGACTCTCCCACATATCTGAGTAGACAATGAGATCGTCTAGGTAAGCATTACAATTCTTAACACCGGCTAACACTGTTAACTAACCGCTGGAAAGTAGCGGGAGCGTTACACATTCCAAAGGGCATTACAGTGTACTGTAAAAAGTCATCGGGAGTCACAAAGGCTGCAACCTCAGATGCACGTTCAGTAAGAGGGACCTGCCAGTATCCTTTTAAGAGATCTAGTTTGCTCACAAACACGGCAGTACCAAGGGTATCAACGCAATCCTCCATCCGAGGTAAGGGATACGAATCACGCACTGTGACCGCATTAACTTTCCTAAAGTCGGTGATAAATCTCGGTGAACCATCAGCCTTGCTTTCTACAAGACAGGGTGAACTCCACGGACTGGAGCTAGGCTTGGCGAGGCCATGCTGAAGGAGGTACTCTACTTCTCCTTTCATTACATCACGCTTCATTACATTTGCGCGGTACGGGTGCTGCTTAATGGGTCGCGGGTTGGTAAGTTCGACATCATGTTTTAACACTTTGGTCCTACCTGGAACATCACTGAACAAACTCGGAAACTGAGTAACTAAACCTATCACATCCTGCCTTTGAGCAGGGGATAGATGTGGTAAGCAGGTAGGCAACTCCTCAATCGCCTCTGAATTGGGGAGACGAGAACCTGGGTAGACGGGACAACGCGGCCGCAAATCGTCGACGTCTGGTACAGGCGTAGGGTCAGTCGCAACTACAGCTACCACTCCAGGCCGAGGTTTTGCACCAGTTGTGTCTGGTTTGAACCCCACAGCAGTACCCTGAGAGTCTGAGTCCTTTTCCCTAACATGATAGAGTTTTAGCATGTTAATGTGACAAACGCGGGTTTTCCTACGCCGATCAGGAGTGCTTATCACATAATCTGTGTCACTGAGTCTTTTGTGAACCTCATAGGGCCCTGAAAATTTGGCGGACAACGTGGTACCTGGTACCGGAAGTAATGCCAAGACCTTATCTCCTAGACTAAAGTCACGTTCTACAGTGGAACGATCGTAGTTCCGTTTCATCACGATTTGTGCGGTAGTCAACTTGTGCTTAGCAAGTGCATTAGCTCTGTGCAGTCGCTCGCGGAAGTGACTTACATAATCGAGCATGTTTTGTGCAGGAACGGACTGCAACGACAGAAACTGGTCATGCAATGTTTGCAGAGGACCACGGAGAGTGTGTCCAAACACAAGCTGGGCAGGGCTGAATCCTAATGATTCCTGTACAGCGTCGCGTGCAGCGAACAAAACGAAGGGGATGCTCTCATCCCAGTCAGTGCCATTGTCATGGCAATGTTTCCTAAGCATAGACTTTAACGTCTGGTGCCATCGTTCTAGCGCACCCTGTGACTCAGGATGGTAAGCAGATGAAACAATATGACGCACATTTAGTGTCCCTAGTACCTGTTTAAACAGTCGGGACTGGAAATTAGAGCCTTGGTCTGACTGTACTACCTGAGGTAAACCAAAAGTTGAAAAGAATTTAGTTAGAGCCCTAACTATGCTCCTTGCAGTGATGTTTCGGAGGGGGACAGCCTCAGGGAAGCGAGTAGCCGCACACATGATTGTAAACAGATACTGGTTACCGTTTTTCGTACGTGGCAACGGCCCTACGCAGTCGATAATCACTCTGCCAAAAGGTGCTTCAATCACAGGTATGGGATGTAGAGGGACTGGGGAAAGTTTTTGGTTAGGCTTTCCTGTCACCTGACATACATGACAACTACGGCAAAACTTAGCTGTATCTGTCTTCAACCCAGGCCAGAAGAAATGTCTCAACACTGACTGATAAGTCTTAGTGACTCCTAAGTGCGCTGACCATTTACTTTCGTGGGCGACAGATAAGACATGCTGTCTGTAAACTGAAGGCACTACAATCTGATACATGCGTTGCCAATCCGCATCAAAAGCTACACCTGGGGACCATCTCCGCATTAACACACCATTTTCTAAGTAATACACTACTTTTTCACCACTTGCTGCGTTGCTGTCACTCACCACATTCCTGAAGCAGGCCTGTAAGGTTGGATCCTCTCTCTGAGCCACAGCCAAGCGTTCTCTTGTAGCTGGCAGTGGTGGGGAGGAAGAGGACGGTTCCACCGCACTCTCCATAGGTTCCTTGACGGGAGTTGAATCAGCTATCTGCAAAGGCTTACAAAACACTGTATCAGCTAGCGAAATATCTGACCCATCATCACATGTCATCTGGCGAGCCCGCGCACGAGTGACGATGCAGGCTGGAAATACCGTGGGCAACTCTGCGCTGCAGGCAGGGTCTCCTGGTGCATCCAAGACTTCCAACGTTGGAGTCACTTTACCCCCGGCTATGTCATTTCCCATGAGCAACACAACACCCTGTATGGGAAGCTCATCACACACTGCTACTGGGAAAAAACCACTGACTAGGTCGGACTGAATGTGCACCTTATGCACAGGGCGAGGCGCAAATCCCATTTCAATGCCCCTTAAGACGGACCCAAATCCACAGGCGGACTCAACTGAAAAGGGTAGCACGGAAGCTAACACAACCGATTGGGAACAAGCGGTGTCCCGTAACACTTTAACAGACTGCTGGTCTGTTGGCAATCCTGTAAGCGAAATCAGTGCTTTTAGTACAAATGGACGAAAACAGGGGTCAACCTCACTTTGGTTGTCACAGTTTAACTGAGGGCTTGGTAGATTGTTAATTAACCCAACACCCTTGGGCTGAGACCCATGCGAAGAGGACCGGTCTTTGCGTTTCAAGATCACACAATCCGCAATAACATGTCCCCTCTTATGACAGTAATAACACTGACGCTCTTCTTCCTTCGGACTGGGATTCCTAGGAGGATTAGTCCGAGGTAGGTTTACGCGACGGGCACTGTCTACAACCTGAGGAAACGCTGGTTTGTGAATCAGCATATACTCATCTGCTAATGTAGCTGCAGCAGATAATGTTAACACCTTTTGTTCATTTAAGTACATCACTATGCGTTCGGGTAGGCAGCGTTTAAGCTCCTCTATTAAACAAAGTTCTCTAAGTGAACTGAACTCAGCTACATTAGATGACGCAAGCCACCGATCAAAGAGAATTGTTTTCTCTCGGGCAAACTCTGTGTAACTTTGCGTAGCCGGCTTCTTATGTGACCGAAACTTTTGTCTGTAAGCTTCGGGCACTAACTCATAAATTCGCAAAATTGCTGACTTAACTGTTTCATAATCTGCACTGTCCTTTATAGAAAGAGCAGCTATAGCCTCCTGAGCTTTTCCCTGTAGCTTACACTGCAACAACAACGACCAAACCTCAAGCGGCCATTTTAATGCTAAAGCTATTCGCTCAAAAACTTGGAAGTAAGAGTCCACTTCAGCCTCTCGGAACAACGGCACCAAAGCAATATTTTTGCCGACATCAAATCCGGGACTTACCGAGTCCAATTTGGATGAGTAGGGGGGAGAAGTTGTACCACCAGAACCCGCAGCCCCACCAGCCATAGCTGCGTTGGCGCTTTCTAGCTCCAACTTCCGCAGTCTCACCACCTGGTCAGCCTCAATCTCCATTCTCCTCACTTCGAGTTGGAGTTGCCTCTGACGTTCTCTGTCCTGTGCTTCATACTGGAGACGGGCAAGGCGTACCTTGAGCCGCGCTTCTCCTAGCGATCGAGCACTGCTGGCAGAGGACGGATCAAACCTGGGCAGCGTGAACGGCGTTGCCGGCCTTTCACCTACTTTGTCTGAGTCCGGTACGTCCGTGGCATTGTCAGGGGTAGGCGTGACCTCCCCTTTGGTAGCTGAACCAGCAACTGGGAACCTGGGCTCTTTCTCGGGCGGTTCTGGCACTACAAGTATCCCCCTCTCAACTAATGCTAACCATAGCATAGGCTTCAACTCCTTTTTAAGAATGGTTTTGGGAACCGAGATGCTAAAGTGGGCTGCTAACTGGAGCAACTCGTCTTTCCGACACAGCTCAAATTTCTCTACTGAGGGCTGTTTTAGAAAGGCCTCAATCTCAAAACGTGCAGCGGCCATGATTCCCTGAATCAGGCAAGCTGTACCTCGTTACCGTCAAGCTAGTCACTCAACTGTTACCAAGAACCAGTTAATGCCAATTGGGATTCCTCTAGAAGGAGATCCCGGACGAGCCCCCATATATGTTACGACCCCCCTGTTGGTCTAGGGGTGTGGGGGCCATAAACATATAGGCACAACTGGTAGATCTTAAACAAGGTAACGTTTATTGGTAACATGAGATGTAGACAGGTAACAAAAAGAACAAAAGGAGGGTGGACGAGGGTGCTGCGAAAATAACAAACCAAGTTAAAATAAAAAGGTCCTCAAAAGAGGCCTACACCTATCTACCGTTTTAAACAGGGTTGAATCTTACTACAAAAAAAAAAAAAACACAAAGAGCACAGCACCCACTCCACCTGGTGAAACTAACAAAATAGCAAACAGAACAATAAGTGAACTTCTCCACTGCACTCAAATGTGGAGCTAACATTCAAAGGTATGCAAAATGTTTACCTAAACACAATGTACAGCTAATAGGCACTGAAGGTGGATAGTTCCACTACACACAAAGTACAACAGACAGGCTATGCAGTCAATACCAGCAGCACACAAGTCAACAGGCGGTGACAAGCTGCCTGGAGCAACAGCTGGACTCTCCTTATGAGCCGGAGGTAATTAACGTGGTGATGAGCCATTGGTTGAGTGGAATACAGAGGAACCAATGGGCGGTACAGATGTCAGCACCCCAGAAACCAGGAAGTAGGCGGGTCTTCATTCCCCAGGGACACAGCCTACTTGGTAGAGGTGAGACAGGGAAAAGAGGAAACACAAGGGTGACAGCGACAGCCGTGACAAACGTAATACTCCCGGTAAACCCTGGACATCCTTGGGACCTAAAAACAACTCTGGATAAGTGGACCTTTAGACAGCAGTGCTTTCCAATGCCAAGAATGATCTTTCAATTGCATTGCATGCATATTTTCAGGAGATCAATTGAGCAGCCAGCTGTGGTTGTTAGAGCCTCTGTTGATCTCAGTGACAGACAAATGAGGAAGCTGACACTACTAGCTTGAAATATCCCACATTTATCTGCTCATAAACTGAATTGTGAAATCAGGTGAAAGCATATCTTCATTTTATTCTTTTGATGGAAATTTATCCTTTTTTAAGTAGGGTGCTGTGACGTGGAGGCCGAATATCTACAGTACATTAGGACGTTCATGCATATTTTAAAAAACAATGGAAAGTAATTTGTTCTTTTGGAGATGTACAGGCATTCATCTGTTTATGTATGTTAATAACATAGAGGAAGGAAGCCAGGCCGGCTGGAATCAACTGACTCACACAACTGTGGTAACCTCAACTGAGTAAGACAACTTTCTTAAGCACATCTGTTTATTGATTTGAATAACTGAAAGACTGCACAATATGTCTCGTGCAATGTATCTTTGTGATATGTTTTAACAGACAGACAGATCAACCAAGCAGCTATGTGTTTAACAGCAGGAGCGAGAGGGTTTCTTGTCTTCCTCATCTCTGTGTCAGGTACTGCATATCTACATTTACATTTTAGGGTATTTAGCATGCTAATTTTAGTTAAAGGACATCGAGGGAAGTAGGTTTAACCTAAATTTATTGAGTGATTACCAGGAATTGGTCCCTGGAACACCCATAGAATTGATCATCTTGTTATACGATATTATATTTACCATTAAAACTCAGCAACGGCAGCCAATTGCTTACTATAAAATTGTAATCAAAAAATGGATCTTATTTCAGTTATGTTCCGTCTGTATCTTAGGATATAGAAAGTTTAAAATAGTCAGTCTAAGAAACAAACAAACAGAGTCTCGGTTCTGCTCAGTTGGTTTGACTGAATGTACATTTTCCCAGCTAACAGAAACTAATAAGCCAGCTGGGTTTTATATGTACTAATATCAGGCCAAATATTAAGAAAACAAAAAAAACAACCAATGCCAATAAAAGGAGGAAGAGAGTGGAGTCTTTTTTAAATGTACAGCTATGTGTTTGTGTAGAGTATAGTTATATTGAATATTGTTGCATTATGCGAATAAGGCTTAAAAATGGTGGAGTGCTCATTTTGAAAAGAGAATACTCTACGCTGACATTAACATTTCACTATCATTTTACATGTGTACTTAACCTAATGAGCCCAGTTAACATGATAGTGTTCTGACCTAAATGTGCCAGTATTACACATTATATTACCAACATACTGGCATACTGAGTTTCACATCCGTGTTCTGCATTTCTCTTTAGTTTCACACTGTTCACCTGACCACTTACAGGAAACAAACAAAACAGACACATTTCTTCCATTACGCACTTTTCTAATAATACATTTTCTGTTCCTTCATCTCATGAGCTTTAAAGTTTCGATGCACTCCTGTTCTTCCACTGTCTCTTCAAACGATATGCCCTGGTTTAATGCAGATACTAAATGTCCCTTTTAAATAGATACATTTAAGAACAAAATAAATGTAGTGTGAATGATGCAACAATTTTTCTTTTATGCTCACATCCAACTCCATCTCATGGAGAAAAATAAAACACACAAAATGGAGCATTGAAATGAAATAAATATGATAGGAGGGTGTATAAACGGGGCCTTCTCTGGGCACTAAGATGCAAATCTACAGTGAGGCTTCACACACATTGCTCATGGACCCTGTCGTGTCCTTTGAGCCAAGGGAGCCCCTTCGCACCACATCACTAATAATGCCTGCAATAATCAGACCACCTGATTAAGGCTTGCACACGAAACGGTTGTATTGAACTGCTTTTGGTTGTGTACATATGTAGGCTACTTGTTAAAAAATATATACATTTCCTGATAATAAGCATGTATGGAGGAGACACAGTCACAGACCTGATGTTTGCCTTATTCTTAACCGTAACCATGTTTTTTTCTATAACCTTACACATCAAAACTTTTGTTTCCATGTGCCTGTATTGTAGAAAATTAGCCTTTTACAAACGTTGGCACCAAAGGGCTAACGCTAAAGTTGCTATGTGGCTGTGTTTTAATGGCTGGGTTGTTTGTTTTGGAGAGGAGACTACCTTGGAGGTAATTTAGAACCCTGTCAGGGCACTGAAGTGGAGCACAACGCTCATCAGCTGTTAGCTGTAAACACTATAACTAAAGTAGGGTTGCCACCCATCCCTTAAAATACGCAATTGTCCCGTAGAGAACTAAGTAAGAAAACTAAGTCCCGTTTTGAATCAATACAGGACACATATTTCCAAGTTGTCATGCAAATCATCGCACCCGCATTCTGTGAAGACTTGTCCTTTTCTACCCCTGATTGGGTAATACTCACTGCCATTGTAGGTTTTTATTAATACCGTCAGGTTCAGAGCCAACCGGAGTCAGATAAGGGTGAGTCTCTTGGCAGAGAGTTGAGTTGAAATAACGGTGGCGGCAGCAAATTTTCTGACTGATTACTCTGGATTTCATATGAAGCCTATTTGTTAAGGAATATTGTTACAATGTAAGAGATACACATTTAATTATGAAATATGAAATATACAAACATGCTTAACCAATCTATAGAATTGCATCCTTCATTAACAACAGACTGAATAAAAACTGAAAATATAAATACAGAAATAAATATACTGACCAATCATATAAACTGTTTAAAATAGAGAAATGTTTGTAGATAGGTTATTTATGTGTGGTTTCATTGTTTGGATGGTTTTACTGCAAACAATATTTTTGCCAAAATCTGTGTTCACACCACACTTTACAATTACTCAAGTTCATTAGCAATTTTTCATCCTGTCCATCAACAGCCACATCATCAGCATCTCAGCATCAACTGTTACACGGAAAGGATATTTTCCAGAATGACCAACAAAGTGACAGCAGCAAGAACAGGAGCTTATTAGAGTGAGCTCATATTCAGTCTCAACTTTGATCAGTCCTCTTCGTACTGTAGCAGCTACTCAGTGCTGCACGAGTACTCAACTACAGTTCTGACAAGAAAACATTTACAAAATAAAGTAGGCCTAACATGCTGAAATACTGCACATGAGGACTACTACTTCTGGTCCACTGATGTTCATGATGTTCATGGAAAATACATGTTGATTTAATAAAATACAGTTCACTTCTCAGACATTCCTCTAAAAGCCTATTTATTTTGTGGTCTCACTGTCACACCTTCTTGGCTTATGTTTATTATTGTCATAGCTGTGTATTCAGCGCCTGTAAATGCGCCTCATAACGCTCGGCAAGCGGCTACTCCGAAAAACACTGAGCTGCAGCACACACTTCCTCTCTCTTCCAAACACTAGCTACCCTCCAGGCAGTCAATGGACATAAAGTTGTTACTGTGATGTAGAGACAGAGCTCAGTTAAAACTTTATGGATGAAAGATACTTTTGTTACAGATTAATAACTCACCACTCTGAAACTCTTGCTCCAGTCTATGTTGCCAAGCTGGTCGGCAACAGTTAGCTTAATGCTGAATCAAAGCTGTTTACCGGCTTCTCATTGGCCAGCCCTTCTCTGCTTCTAATTGGCTAGTAGTCCTTAACTAAGAACTGCCCATGTGCCAACAAAGATCATTTAGAGACAAGATGTATCACTCCATAGCTAAAACGAAGTGTTCAACACAGTCTGAAAAGAGGAGCTGCAGCAATGTGCAGTACGAAAAAATATATGGTGTTTTTTTTATTTTTTTATTAAGCAGTGTAAACCTGTTCGGTTACAACCCTTAAATAGGATTTTGAACCTGTAAATGAGCATAATACCACCTCTTTAATGTTGTTATCAGTCTGATTGTAGTTTCTGATGTGCTCTGTGTTACAGTGGTACAGGGTCAGGATGGCTGGAGAGTGACTTACACCTCTACTCAGATCTGTGCCTTAAAAGGATCAACAGTGGAAATAAGATGTACCTACACATACCCATCCAGAATAAATGGCCGTGATACTAAATTTGAGGAAACATTCTGGTTTACTAAATTCCAGGATAAAGAACCGGTGGATCTGAGAACAGACTCAAAGTATGCAGGTCGTGTGGAGTATCACTGTGATAAAAAAGACTGCACTATGAGAATCACAGACCTGAGAGAGAGCGACTCAGCTGAGTACAAGTTCAGGTTCATAACAAACCAGCCAGATGGAAGATTTACTGGTTCACCTGGAGTCACTCTGTCTGTCACAGGTAACATTTTTGTTGGAAACCATGTAAGTTAGCTCCAAACGCTCAACAAGTGATGTGCTTATTACGGCCCGGCGCCATGAGGGGGCAGAAGGGGGCTTTGCCCCCTCAGTTGCATTTCATGCCCCCCCCCCAGTCTAGAACCACCAATGGGCAAAATTTACCTGCTGCTGTTTAATTGTAGCCTAGGAGTTAAAAGAAATAGCTTGCGACTTGACAATGAAATAGGCTAGTGGTATTTTTCGTTCTTGTCTTAAACTCTAAAAACTATGGCAGTAGGGGGCTGTAGGCTAAAGACCTGTGGTGGATGTAGAACAGGGGTCTCAATTATATAAACGTGCTCAGAAACCTCACTAAAAGTGTGTCCAAAAGACAAAATGTCTTAGGCCTACGCCAAAAAAAAAAAAAAAAAAAAAAAAAAAAAAAATCAGACTTATAAAACCGTGCATATGCACCCTTGTAAGCTTGTTCCCTTTATAAATCACAATCAACTTGAAATGTGGCCTATGTGAAGAAGCGCCATATCTGATCCCTTCAAACACTTACAACTGTCTAAAATTGGTCAGTGGAATTAATATTAATACGTACTGACTGCGAGAAGAAAAGGAGACAAACTCTGGCAGAGGAGCTACACAACGAGATTTAACTCAGTGGTTAAACTGTCATATAACACAAAACAGATGGCTCTCACAAGATGTTTACAAATGCGGGCGTGGTTATTTTCCTTGGCATTCCTCCTGAGTAGTGACGTCACTGGCCGAAGGGGGACACACATACGCAAGATGAGATGACACCGGTACTAATATGGATTCCCCCGAGAGAAAACCAACATCTGTGTTTAAACATGTATTCAGGTTAAGCAAACAATCCACTCACTTGTGACTTGTTGTAAACGATAATGAAATAGTATTATTTATATTATAATAGTATATTTTCCAGAACAAACAGCGCATCACATCCATACCAGCGTTTGGCTCGATTAGGAAGCTAACATGTGATAACAATATAGTGTGAAACTATGCACTAGTATTTGCGCGACTGACGCATTGAAAACGGCTTCAATTTAAATGTAATTTGTCCTCCTGTTCATCTTGAGAATAAATTGTACAGCATACAAGTAATTACTATGATTCCTGGTTAAATGGTCCAACACCTTTGAGGTGTTCTTTTGCAGATACAGAATATCTGCTTGTGTTTATTATCCTCAGTCACGGTTCTTCTTGTGCGCCGCATATTATCCTAAATTATGCTGGGGTTTTTTTGTTTGTTTGTTTTAATTTTATATAGGGAACTTCAGGGAGAATCAATAAAACAAGTGTCTGATTATTTAGAAAGGCTTTAGGTTTTAAGCCTATACTGCTCAGAGGTAATATTTAGATATATTTTACACAGTTGTAGGACTATTCATTTCAAACAGTTTCATCCTTCTGCCGTGTGAGTATATCTACTTATTGTGTTGTCGTCTTCTGTGTTTCTTTCTTAGACCGATCATGTGTTTTGCCTGCAACATCTTAATTATTAGCTATACAAAATATGTCAGGGCCAAAGTCTTTTTTCCCCTGTTTTATACTGCACAACATGAGCGTTGGACATTCGGATGTGATTTAAGCTGACATAGATGTCACCCTATCTACTATCCTAACAATAGGAGAAAGTTTTAATTATCCATCTCAGAGAGTGAATATTATTAAATCTGCATCACCAGACCTTTTGGTAGCGTTATGCGAAATAGCTTACAATGTTTTAAAAGGTAAAATTCCTTTAAATAAGACACAGAATCAAAAATTTTATTTAAAGGTTTGCGCTTCAAAGAAAAAGAAGAGGTTGCTTAAACACTCTGGCGGTTTTCTTCTCCCCCTCCTGAGTATCGCTGTGCCTTTTATAAAGAGTCTTATTGGTTCAAGATAAACTTAGATGACTATGGAGTATGCACAAAAAATGTTTTTGGTATCTAAACAGCTTGATCTTTTAAGAAGACCTCCGGCACACGAGTCTATTCCAGAAACTGTTGAAAATGACCTGGATCGTACTATAAAAGACATTCTGGATCAAAAGACTGAAGATCTTCATGAAAAAGCAAAAAAGATTTCCATGTGAACGTGCACGCGCTTTGCTGGCCTTTATTTACTACTACTTTAGGGGCGCATTACTGTGACACGCACGAGGCACATCAGCCTAATTTCATTGATTATTAAAATCTCCTGACACGCCGACAGGATCGGTCAGGATCTAAAGTTAATAATGTTCTGTGTTCTTTTACAAATCCAAAAGCTCTCACACAGTCCAGGTTCATCCAGAGAAACTGTTTGGAGTAAAACAGCCATCCTCCTGATCAGTCCTCCATCAGAGTGTCTAAATTATTTCAGAAGCTAAAAGTTGAATTCTGCTTCCTCTGGAGTTTCCTCTGTCATGTAAAGTTTAGAACTTCAGGTTTTGTCTTTTTTTACTGCTCAAATACTCCTAGATGTTTGTTGCGACTTTATTGCGCACATGATGTTTAAAATGACCGACAGCACTCTCTCTAATCATGAAATTAAATCGTTAAAGAAAACACTCATACATCAATAAAACACAAAATAAAGAATTGTAGGGGAGAGATGTTACCCACGACTCGTACATCATAGTTTATATTAACGCAGTGCAGTGAGGATCCAGACGTTTCATAGAGGACACAGCGTCTGTCTGTTAACAGACTGGAGCTCTCTCATAAACTGCAGAGCAGCATAGCATCACAGGCTTCATGATCAGAGATGGTTTTTTGATCACGTCCACACTTCTGTCCATATCCCCTCTCTGCTGTGAGTCTGCAGTTCAATCAGTCAACTGGTGTTTTTCATAATGCGCTGTTCATACGCTATAATGGCAATGTGCCAAAGTTCAAGCGCACCTGGCTTTAAACAGGAGATGACGCTGATTGGTGTATTGCATGTTATGCCCTACACACCCATGACTAATTCACAGACTAAGTACGACCCTTTTGATCCACGTGCCCGGCACACAGACCTTTTTTTCTGCCGTCAAACGAGCAAAATTGGAGTTGGAGACGCCCCAAACGCAACTGCGCCATGCGCTTCACGCCGTGAAGGGCCCTGTGTATTGATATATATATAAAAAGTATATATTTGCCCCCTCGCCATTTTTAACTGCCCCCTCAGTCACTTCATCCTGGTGCCGGGCCTGGCTTATTATCATGTGTATACACTGAAAGTCTAAAATTATATTTTGTTTCTTTACAAACAGTTTTGCAGGTGCAGTGGAGCAGGTTGAAATCATGCCTGTATAAAGACTGTATACAGGCACAGGTTAAGTGTCACAGCAGCTGTCATCTATCTGATCAAACCTCCTACATCTGGTACAAGAATGGACAGAAAATTGACAAAGAAGCACCTTCTTATTCAGACTACTTTTATTCTGCAGACAGCTATTCCTGTGCCCTTACAGGACATACGGATTTTCCTTCTCCTTCAGTGTGTGAGTTCACTCCACAATCTTTTAATAATGTGACGCTGTTGTGAACATTTTAGTTGATGTTCTGTATCATGATTTCATGTATCTTTTAACATGAGCGACCCCTTCCACAGCAATACAACCAGCTGTGAGGAGAGGCATATAGTTTTTATAATAATAATCAAAAATATTTTATTTTCAGGTGTCTATCGTCAAACCTGCAACAGAGTGACTTACACTGACAGAAGCATCTGTGCCTTCAAAGGCTCATCAGTGGACATTTCTTGTACTTACAACAGTTATGACACATATATCAGATCTAGATTCTGGTTCAGACCTGTACGTAGTCTTCAGTGGCAGAATCCCTCACAGCCTGAGGACCTTAGTGAAGACTCCCAGTATGCAGGTCGTGTTCAGGTCCTTGAAACAGAGAGAGGACGCTCCACTCTGAGAATCACTGACCTGAGAGAGAGCGACTCAGCTGAGTATCACTTCAAATTCACAGCAGGAAGCTTTGAATGGAGGAGTAGTTTACCTGGTACAACTCTGACTGTCACAGGTACTGATGAACACAAACTGATCATGTAGTTAATGTAGCACAATTGAATGTTGAAGTAGATGTATTTAAGATAAAGGGGAGGTTTAACGCAAGGGAAACTATCAAAATAAGATGAAAATGCAGTTTTAAACAAATGTAAGCTCACTGACGAGAAGTTAGTTGCAGTTAAGAGTGTGCGGTTTTATGTTCAGTATGTTTTATATACATAGACCATTTGTGTGATTAAATAAGAGACTAAACTCTTCATAGGAAAGTGGTAGATTTTGCATGGTGTGTTCATATTATTAACACTGAACATTTTCAGTGTTTTAGGTTGTAGTTATACAGGCAACTCTGTGTGTAATTGACAGTAACATTCCTATTCATTCTTCACAGATCCAGATTTACAGGTGCAGGTGATCTGGTCTTCTACTGGTCCAAAACTGATTTGTCACAGCAGCTGTCTTCGTGTTCGTTCCTCTTTTGTTTGGTACAAGAATGAAAATAAAATTATGTATGAAACATCTCCTTCTTACAGAGGATACATTGATCCTACGGATAGTTATTCCTGTGCCTATAAAGATCACCGCTCTCTTCCAGTGTGTGAGTTTACTCCACTATTTCACAAACAAAATGTAATCTAGCAGAAACCTAATAGCAGATATATTCAATATTTATACTGGAACAATTGCTTACATCACTATTTGTATGTGATGTGATATGGATTAGCTGCTGAAGATATTTGTGTCAGGACTTGGTGGAACCAAAAACAGCTAAATAGAGAGAGAATATTGGATTTACATTCATCAATCCAGCATAGCATAGTAATGTAACAGTAAATGCAGTGAAGAAGCCTGCAAAATATGTTAACAAATGCTGCTCCATCGCCACCCACTATATAAATTAATTAATAAATTTTACATGTAGAACAATACAAGAAAGTTGACTGCAAGCTGGCCAATAACATTTAAACAACAACTACTACATCTAAGCTAAAGCTGTCTTGGCAACAGGACAAGCAAACAGGATTAATAGCGTTTATAGACATTATTGAGACCTTGCTAACACTCTGGCATGATAATTAGTGAGTAACATTCAGTGAATAACATACTGTCATATTAAGGTTTGTTCACATTATCTCCTACAGATGCTCCAGTAGTTCCTTCAGTGTTGATGAGTCCCACTGGTGAAATAGTGAAGAACAGTTCACTGTCTTTGACCTGTGTCAGTGATGCTAACCCAGTGGCTAAATATTCCTGGTACAAGAAGAACAAAACACTTCTAAGTAAAGAACCACAGCTTGTCATCAGCTCTATCCAGTCCTCTGACTCTGGTGAATATTACTGCACAGCTGAGAATGAGCTGGGAAATACGAGATCTAAATATGTTTTTATTAATGTGAAATGTGAGTAAAAACATCTTAATTCCCTCACAGACATTTTATTTAAAAGCAAAATATAGTTTAAATCTGTCTGCAGCTGTAGTTGACTGAGCAGCACCAGAAGATGTCGTAGTTTTAATTACTGTTGTTCAGATGATTCAAACTTAATTTTTCATCACAAGACCTCTTCCAAATTCATAAAAATCTATTTGAATAAATTTCTTTCAGATGGTCCAAAGACCTCCAATGTGTCAGTGAATCCCTCTGCTGAGATAGTGGAGGGCAGTTCAGTGACTCTGACCTGCAGCAGTGATGCTAACCCAGCAGCTAATTATACCTGGTATAAAGAGAATCAAATACTGTTTCAAGGACCAGAAGGCATCTATCATTTTACCTCCATCAGCTCCATGGACAGTGGGATCTACTACTGCAAGTCTGAGAATCAGTACAGAGAGATCAACTCTACTATTCTCGACTTAGATGTCCAGTGTGAGTAGAAAACATCAGCAAATAACTAAAACACTCAACAGTGGTTGTAAAAGTGTGTTTAAGACATTTACATGTTATAAAGAAACAACACAGTCTGCAGCTGTAGGAAGTACCTCCAGCACACATACTGTATAAGTGGTTGGGGTTGACTCTGTATCACTTACGATGGATCTAAAATAGTGAACTTCACACTGTGTTTGTGAAATGTTGTTATCACCAGATGCTCCAAAGCTTCCCTCTGTGTCAGTGAGTCCCTCTGCTGAGATAGTGGAGGGCAGTTCAGTGACTCTGACCTGCAGCAGTGATGCTAACCCAGCAGCTAAATACACCTGGTACAAGGAGAATGAAGACTCACCAAAAGCATCAGGACAGAACTTCACCATCACTGACTTCAGAGCTGAACACAGTGGGAATTATTACTGTGAAGTCCAGAACAGAAGAGGACGTCATAACTCCACCTTACATCTGACTGTTGTAGGGAGTAAGTTATGTGCATTCACCTAAACCCACCTCTTTATTAGACATTTTATTACAGAAATCTTATAGGTGGTGGCAGAAGTCCCTCACATTTCACTGACACTTAACCAAAGTCAAACTTTCTAAACATACAGTAACTCCTTTTAATAAAACACATGTACTTTTATAGGTTATAACCTTATTGTTATAACAGGTTGGTGACAAAAACATCAATGGGGGGGGGGGTGACTGGGATTTTGGAATGATGTATATGGATATTTGCTGTAATTGCTTTGATTATCCAGGTGCAAGGAATTCAGCAATTATAGGAACAATCTCTGCCATTCTTCTGGCTGTCATACTCCTGGCTGTCATACTCCTGGCTGTCTTTCTATGGATTAGGTGAGCAATTATGTGTCACTAATTCATTAATGCATCTAAAATTGTATCATCAGTTCTCTTGACACATTAGTTAATCCATTCAAATGCTCATTCTCCTATCTAGACGAAATAAATCCTTTACACAACAGGCACAGGGTGGAGCGAGACACGACAACACAGGACAGGTGAGAACTTAACCTTTGTTGTATCTAGCTAATGCCCAGATTTTGAGAAGCCTCTTATACTGGCCAAATTTAAGGAAAATTGTAATTCTCATAAATTGACTTTCTCCTTTGGAAAGTAGTTCAAATGAAAACTTTGCTGTGGGGACTATCCTTCATAATGGCACAGTGTTTCTGAAGAGACACAATGTTGTCGGGTTTTTTAAAATAAAATGTTTTCAATCACAATTAAAATAACATTCAGCTCCATTGCATCGGCATGTTGTTGGAAATCTGATTTTAGAAATTTCTATTGCCTGGCTGATACCACTACTAAGCTTTAGTAATAGTAATGCTGGTGGATAGACTCTTCAGGCAAAGAAAAGTGACTTTAAAATCTCTCACTTTATTATAAATGACTTTAATATTATTTATAAATATATGTAATTATTTCTGCTGGTACAGAATGAATGCAGCCCCCACTTGCACCTTACTCTGCCACTATATATGTTTGTTAAAAATATCCACTGGGCAGGTTTGTCAAGGTTATCACATACAGTCTTATGATGGATTTACAGGCCCAAATCAGTATTTGCACACATAAGCTGTTTGTTCAAGCAGGTAATTATGACCTATATTTACATTGTGGCTGTGAGCTCTAGTGGCCGTTTGACTGTAGCAAAGGAGTAAGTCAGGTGATGTACTATAAGAGTGAGAAAGTCCGCATAAAGAGGTGGACAGGGAGGTTGGTTGGGTGAATGAATAGATGGGTTAAACCCAGGACTTTCACACAGGACAGTGGTGTTTGAGTCCCATGTGGAACCAAGTAAATGTTGAGTCTTTTGAAGTTTTAAGTTAAACAGTTAGTTAAGTCATGTCATTTACTAACTTATGTTACATACTTACTTTCAGGGCTTGACATTAACACCAACCCGCCAAATGCAGGTGGATTTCAGCCGTGGCGGGTAACGCAGTCATTCCCACAAGCCACATTGGCTAGTGAGCAAAAAAGTTAATGTCACTGTCTGCTTACTTTAACCCAAACCACAATGTTTTCCTAAACAAGGACAGACTGGGAGTAAAAAATGATCCAGACTGGCTCACCAGAACAGTCCACTGTATACTCCACCACGGCCGCCCTGCTAATGCACACACAGGACCAGCCTCTAATAAACCACCTAGCAGCAGCACAGCCATGGATCACTATGGCGGTATGCCACTACTTTAAAAAGGCGTGGCTGTAACCAGTTTTGAGGTCACCGAGGTCCGGACCTTTGTAATTATATTTAGTCTATAGCCTATTAATAAAACATATTCGAATAAAAACCATCGATAACAAGCTGAACTTAAATAAAGGCTTTAGGACCATGTGAATGCAGCAGATTAGGCAAGGCCTCATATTAGTGGTGTGACCAAAACACTTAGTCCACATGAGAATACACATATCTAGGGTTCCTCCCCCAGAAGATTTTGAGCCTTTATTTATATAAAGGGAAATAAAACGCATGTGGCCGGTGACAAATCAGAATGTAAAAATATTATCGAATATAATGCTGTAATCAGTTGCTTGTTTTTTTAGTTAATTTTGTTGGACAAGGCAGATCTGTTTCTTCTATATTTACATTGCATTCCATGCTTTTCTATTGTGCAAGTAGCTCTCATAGAATTTGCATTAGTTATTTAACATTTGTCCTTGCAAGAAAATTTTCAGAAAACTTTTAGGAAATGATTTCAAAAAGTGTTGAGGACATGTCCGCAGTGTAAATGACACACATGTGATTACACCGTCGCAACCCTCATTTCAAGTTGAAAAACTGTTTCCCCATCGATGGTCAGAGCCCTGACCTGGGCAAACACATGAAGCACATGACAACATTGTGCGAGCATTAACTGAGAGCACCGCTGTTTAAATAAATATGTTTAGCGAATTTCAGGGTGGGTGAAACAGGGTGAAGCGTCTCCCCATACAGAAAGAAAGCATTTACGCACGAGCCACAGCAGCATAACGTCCTATTTAAATCTCCCGACAAGCCCACAGGATCATCAGGATCTAATGTTAAATAATATGCTGGGTTCTTCTATCTATCCAAAAGGACAGTGTTTGGAGTAAAGCAGCTGTCTTCCTGATCCACCCTGAGTTCCATCAGAGCATCTAAACATTTCAGACGCTAGAAGTTGAATTCTGTTTCCTCTGGCTGACCTGTCAAGTTTTAAAATTTTTGTTTTGTTTTGCTGCATAAATGTCCCATGATATTAACTGTGACATTAGTGCTGGCATGGAAACGTGCAGAGAGAGAGAGAGAGAGAGAGAGAGAGAGAGAGTGTGCTGGGAACACTGTATTGTTTAGCTGCACTATCTTCGCTGTCCTCTCTGTTTAATCTTTCATCCCTGAACAGGGCTGTGGCATCTTCATCTTCCCGATCTTAGCGTCTGTGTCCCTGGTACTACAGAACGAGTCTGTTACTTTTTTACATTTACTTGCATGTCAGTTAAACTTTGCTTTTCCATTTTCTGTTGTAGCTGGTGTTCCAGCTGTCAGTGTAACCAAGTACTTTTGTTGCCTAAACCTAACCAAACTACAACAATTTTCAAAAACCACCTAATTTTTCTCATACTGCACATTGCTGCAGCTCCTCTTTTCACTCTTACTTGTACAAAATCTTTGTTGGGAGTTGCACATGTGTGAACACAGTTCCCAGGTAAGGACTACAAGCCAATCAGAAGCAGAGAAGGGCGGGTCGTAAGAAACAAGGTAGTGTGATCCAAATAAAAGCTGCTTCAGACTGCGACCGTAACCTAGCAGATGGTAGAAGTTACTCACAACCACACAACATCATTGTTCCACATCTTACCATCAGGACTAAATGTTGAACTGTTGCCGGTGTTCTGACGATCTATGCTGCCTTGCCGAAAAATAATACCATAGCGCAACTCGATAGACTCGACTCTACTCGGCCCTGCTCCATTTTCCATTGCAGACAGTACCCAGAGATAGTATGTAGCTTGTCGTATAGCGACGCCACACACAACTGCGGCGACATAATGTTCATTGCGACACACACGCCAGCGATCCACACAGCTTTCTCTTTTTTAAGTTAAAACATTCCTCAGAATGTAAAGACAGATAAGCGGTATGAAAACCTTCCAGCTGTGTTTTCCTCTGCCGTTGTTGCTGCAGCGGTCTGTGTGACGGCGGGAGCAGAGGGCTCTGTGAGCGGGCGGCTGGCCGGCCTCACACGCTCCTCCCGTGGGTTGGCGCAGGCTTCCCCCGCAGCCACTTGCGGAGCTCCTCGACTCCGAAAACATTCAAGCACATTTTTGTTCCACCATCACTTCTCATAAAACTGTCAATATTCGAAATCTAAACAGCTAATTTCACCTCAAAACTTCTCAGAAGTGGATATAGTGATGAAATTCCTTACGAAAACTATAAAATATAAAACTTTCTGTTGCTGGCCTCTGTCTGGTGCAGCAACGATGATGCAGTGAATAGTGAATATTCCCTCTGACCAATCAGCAGTCTGTCGTGTTTTAACGTTACATTTTAGTATCCCTCAGCTCGCTTGGAACCTCGACAGAGGTCATACGAAAAAAAGTACCTAGAAGCAGGTACAGGTATAACATTTCTACAATGGAAAACCAAACAAAGGCGAGTCGGCCTCCGCTCAGACTAGCTTGGTTTGAGGGCGTGCCTGACCCCGCTAGCTGCTTGGCAAGCTTTATGACGCGTTTTCATTGTGACGTCACAAGTAAAGGAAGTGAAGGGCTGGACTACAAACGAGCTGTTTTCAGGTAGTGCAGAGCAGAGCTTTCTGTGGGAGATGGGAACTCCCTTTGGGCTGGACTTTTTCAGCCTTTGCAAACCTGTTACATGTACAAATAAGATGTACAACTCAATAAAGGAGAGGGAAAAAGCCAAAAATCAGAATACCACCTCTTTAACATCACTTAGTTAATGTCTGTCACTGGACTGGTAGGGGAAACACTGGAAAATGTGTCATTTTAGGAGGCAATGACAAACAACCTATTTTTGTCGTTTAGGTATTAGGACATGTTGCAACAAACAGCTGGGGTTATGAAATGGAAAACATTTTTATGAATACACTATAGGTCAGACATGTACAGTGTGGTATGGGTATGTGGAAGCATATAGAGCAGGTAGGTGTATGTACAGTACAGTCACAGTGGTAAGTTTGAGCCAGCAGCCAGAGACAGGTAAAGACAGAGCTAGTGCTAATGTAGACCTCTGCTGATGACAAGTAGAGATTGGCACAGTAAAAACACTAACCTACAGCTGCTTAGCTCAGTAAAAAAGTCTCTCACAACCTGGTTTGTAATAAATTGTAAAGAGAAGGAAAAAAACTGTGCACCAGTGCAATAAACATGTAGATTAGCTAGCGTTATGTTTGTTTCACCAGCAAAACATGGGTCCAGTGTATGACAGCCCTTCAGATGCAGCACAGAGACAAGCAGCAGAACAGCAGGATGACCTTAACTACGCCAGCATCTGCTTCTCTCAGAACCATGAAGATGCTCTCTACTCCAACATCAGGCCAGCTCAGCCCCACAGACCAAGAGAGGAAGAGGACGAGGAGGATAGTGTTGATTACACCACTATCAAACATGACAGTGCCCCGGGGTGAGCATTTTAATGTGAACATTTTAATCACCATATAAAAACATAAACATTGGATTTGAATCTAACTGTGAATTCTTTATTTTCACTTTCACAAAACAAGACGTCAAGAAGAGGGGGAGGACTCACTTGCACTGTACAGCACAGTCAACAAAAACAATGTGAATGCAACATGAATCTCTGGTCTGTTGGATAAATGTAGATTTTTTACACACCTTGTTTAAGAAACCAAACAAGCATAGTTTTCACAACTCACATATCTTGTTATTTTTGATTGTTGTCTCAATGCTGCACTTTGCTGTGTCTGTCCTAAGGAATACACAGGATTCCTAACCTCAGTGTTGCCACCTTCTTAACTACATCCACATTATACGTTTTCGTTTTAAAACGCAGACTTTTTGCTACGTCTGCACCTCCCGTCCAGACTAAAATGGTCAAGGAGATCATTTTCATTTTCAAACTTTTTATAATAAAAATAAAATAACTTTGGTCCCAACGCTGACCCCTGGGGTACACCACAAGCCATGCCCAGACATTCAGATGAATAATCTCCCATCTTCACAAATTGTTGTATGTCTCTCAGATAACTACTTACCCAGTTTAGAATTACCCCCCTGATCCCGATTCGTTCCAGTTTAATGATTAATATTTCATGATTTATTGTATCAAATGCTTTTTGAGATCAATGAATACCCCAACTGCATATTTCTATTTGTCTGTGGAGTTTGTGATTTCTTCAATGAGTTCTGTTATGAACTCAGATTCATATTGGCTATCAGTGAGTAGTTTGTTTTTATCAATGAATTTCTCTGATCTGTTGTTAAATTATTTTTCAAAAATTTTTAAAAATTGTCGCAGTAGAGAGACAGACCTGTAATTTGTAAAGTGGTGTTTATTACCAGTTTTGTATAGAGGAATGACTTTTGCTATTTTCATTTTTGTTGGAAATTGACCGGTTAGAAATGATAAATTGCAGATGTTCGTTAGTAGTTTGGCGATCCCCTGTATTACTGTTTGTATAATTTTTATGTCTATTCCATTGTGATCAGTGGATGGTTTGTTTTAAAATTCTTTAACAATATCTATTATTTCTTTTTCATCTACTGCTGTCAGAAATATTGAACTGGGATTTCTTTCTATTAGATTATTATATCTACTTTCTAATGTTTCTCTGTAAAGTGTATTTTTCTTTTCAGAGGTGTTTTGTAATCCCTTGGAAATCCACAGTCTATCATTTTGTTTTTGTTTTCTGCTATATCTTTTAATTTGACAATTTTTAGAAATTCTTCATATGCTTTGTCAACATCTTTTTCATTGTCTATAAACTCCCAGTCTTGTGCTAGCAGATCAACTTTTAATGCCTCCATTGTTTCTTCTGTCCTCACCCTTTTAGAAATTGGTTTATTACCATGTCTGTTTTGTATTGTTATGTATGATGTTTGTAAATATATTGTCTATTAGTGTTGTTTTGCCTCTTTTTTTGGAGGCATATCAAATTATTGTTCAAAAAGTAATTTTAAAATGTATTCATATTAGCAGGGTGTGACTCATTTTGACAGGCTTTTGATGTCATTAACAAGCCTTCTTCAACTGCGGCGCAACTGCTGCTGTAAAAATGATTTGCAGGTAAAAGAATCCAAAGGATAGATAGATAGTCAATAACCTTACTTGCTAAGGTCAAGGTGAAATATCCCCTGACAGGACGTGTCCTTCAGATTTGGTTTTGGGACTACACTGTGTGCTCTGTATTGCTGTTGCCAGTCTCATTTCTTTAACAGTAACTGATCTAGGCATTTACCAACATCCTACATGTTAATAAAATAAAGAGGAAGGAAGGTGGGCGGGCTGTTTGTTAACAACCAGATCTCTGTCCTCTGCTTACTGGCCACAGGGTAAAGTAACCTTCCCAGACCACATCTTTATCTGTTCTTAGTTATTAATGTTACTGGTTTATTTCATGTGACCATTATTCACCTGTTGATGTTTTATCATCTCTGAAGCCACGCAGCAAGAGGAGCAGCTATGAGTTTAACAGCAGCAGCCAGTGGATTTGTTGTCTTCTTCCTCTGTGTGCCAGGTAAATCTACATTTACATTGTGGGTAATTTGCAACTTTATTTGAATCACCTTCTTATGAGTTTAAGAAAGAAAAATAACCCAATGTTCATTCTGTTTCTTTAAGAATAGATATCTTGAGTGTCTGTGTTTATAGTCTTCAAGTTTTTATACATGCGTATCTCTGTATTATTTTACCTGCACTTTGTAAAGTTTTGTAGATTTTAAGGGTAAGGATGAAAGACCGTTGACATTTACCAACATCCTACATGTTATATGTGTTGTCATACCAACTAATACCAGGCTACCAACTAATTTTCCAGAAAACTGGCAAAAGAAAATGCAAACTATTCGGCATCGATGCAAATTAATATGTCAGACAGCGAACATTTCATTCCCCGTTTACTGTGAAATGCAAATTATTTCTCAATTCATCCATCGGCACCAAACCAGTTCAGCCAGTATGCTCTGCAGATTCAACAATAATTTGACCATTTATTATGTGCTTATGAACTTTGCCAACCTTGTTCTGTATTTCTCTGCAGTTTGCTATTCCCCTAACAACAACCTGACTAAAAAGTAAACACAGAGGGGAAAAAAACAACAATTCATTGTCTGTAATATTTGTCCAGTAGTGAATTAAGGTTCACAGGTCCAATACAATCCTGTTCCTTTGCTGAATCTTCAGACTGTTTGTTGTGCTGCCCTAGTGCACATGTGGATTAACTGTAGACAGCATGTGTACATTTCACACTGTTGTGCTGTAAATTCAAACCATGTTTAACTTGTTAACTGTGGCATCATGTCAGGAGTTATGCTAGAACCCAGATGCAGGATTCATGACACATCATGCAAAAAACCATAAAGGTCTATTGCCCTTTTCAGCAGTACTTGCTTGAAAAAGGACGTAAACATCCAAATAACCAAAAACAAATATGATGCTGCACATGGAGCTGATTATTAATGGTCTGTCCTATTTGAGAAGAACACATTTTTCTCATGTGTTCATTAGGGCAGACAGTCGAAGATTAGATGCTTCGATGGGTGGAGCCTGATTCGACTGTCGAAGCTTTGTTGCGAAACAAGGATCATGCCATTTTCGCGATATGGGGGTGCTCAACGTCTGATTTTACATAGAACTACCAGTTTTCTCCCAATAAGTTAATATAGTGCTGATTACAATATAAATTTCAATATATAATGCTGTAGATAAAAAAATTAGAAAAAAGAAAGCTTTTAATAAATGTCTTTAAAGTGCGTGAATAAATCCAGAATTGTAAACCTAACCCTAAAGTGCGCATGTGTAAGCGAAGCGTCTATGTGTGTGTGAGTGTGTAGTGGCAGAAGAGGAACTTGCTGTATAGACGAAGCCTTAACCCTACCGTTGTTGTGCAGAGTTGTACACACCTTGTGGGACATTCGGATTATGTATCACCATTGATGAACCACGCAAAGTATATTACATAATTTTTAAATAGTACTTGAAATGGACCCGCAAGGAACCGTGACTGGCATGCAGCTGTCGGCCGCACGGCATGCATACAACACTCTGCACAAGACTGGTAAATGGCAGGCGACTCAGTTTAGCTGGAAATATACAGTGTAAATTACAGTGACTAGAGACTACAGCTCTGCAGCTTATCAAGATTAAAGCAGTACATGATTCAACCATCAGTCGACTATAGGCAAGACTTCACAATTCTGATTTGACTATGTAAATCCTTAGTTGGGTACAGCCTTAGTGTTCAATTTTGAGGGGCCAGAGTGTTTTATCATTTAAATTTAATTAACTAACGTGAAAAAAAATTAGTTAAAGCCTTTTGTGGCTCCAGAGGGAGATGTGTGAAATCTGATAAATTGCCTCGAGTTATGTCGCTTGAGTAGGTTGGAGCTGAAGACTACAAGTCTGAAAATGAAAATACTCTGTGGGTGTGGAGTTACCTGCCCTTTGTAACCTGCTCTTCATCTTTATTGCAGCTCAAGGCTACATTAGCCGCTACTAGATAACTGTTGCAAATGTTTACAAATGTGAAACAGTACAGTATAGTACCACCACTTTGCTACCACTCCCAAATGAATAGGTCTCGAGCTACATATACTTGTAGCCCGTGGAATTAGATGCCACACAGGACATGATTACTTTGGGGATTCTTGTAGCTCCAAATAAATTTTTGACCTCATGAACAGGTCATCTGACAGAGTGGTATAGTGATGTGTGATAATTCCTATGCGATGCAATACCATATAATACTCAGGCTGGTATTGCCGATACCAATACTTACTGTACATATTTTATTTCTAGTTTAATGTGACCTCCCCCCTCCCATTTCAGTATTTATGAGGGGAATAAAGAGTAGGCTGTAGGCTTACCAATTCCAAATGATGCTGCATAATGACAAGACATCAAACTACTATCATATTCTTTAATTATAATGAAAATATCCTGCTCAGAGCTCCTGCTGTGATTGTGACATTGTGACTTAATCTCAGATGTTTAGCAATGTTTGCAGTGTTTCACTGTGTTCACAAGTATTTCACTGTCTTTGCACACACATCACACAGAGCGTCATTATTACCTTCACAGCTAAAATACAGCCAGACGTGACTGCTTTTACAGTCAGCCAGAGTCAGTATTCAATCGAGGGAAATGTAAAGGGCTGCAGCCGTAGCGCTATCAACCGAGTATAATTAGACCATCCTGGTGACAGTAAGATACTTATGATAAAACACACACTCACTCCAAATCACTGAGTTTAGATATTGATCCTTTTATATGAGTATCGATCCTAGAGCAGGAAACGTTGGTATCAGAAATATTATTTTATTGGGCTGACCCCAAATAGTGGAAGATTCGATGCTTCAATGGGCGGAGCGTGATTCGATTGTCAATCTCACAGTGGAAGCTTTGCAGCGAAACAAGGATCATGCCATCTGTTCTGATTCTGATTTTACATAGAACTACCAGTTTTCTCCCAACAAGTTAATATACAGCCTATTAAAATACACATTTCAACGTTTAATGCTGTAAATAAACATGTAAAAAGAATAAAACTTTCAATAAATGTTTTTAAAAGTGCGTAAATAAATCCAAAATTGTAACCCTAACCCAGTGCGCATGTGTAGGTGTGTGTGGTGGTGGAAGAGGAGCACTTGCAGACTGAGAGAGAGACTGAGCCCCGGCTTAACTAGAGTTGTCCGCACCTCGACTTTTGGATAATTTATCACCGTTGATGAACCACACAAAGAATATTTTATCATTTTTAAATAGCCTGCTACTTGAAATAGACCTGTGAGGAACCCCGAAGTGCATGTAGATGTCGGCAGCACCACATGCAAGCTAAACTCTGCACAAGACTGGTGAATGACAGGCAAGAGAGAGAAAGAGAGAGAGAGAGAGAGAGAGAGAGAGAGAAAAGGGTCTTCAAAAAGCCTCAGTTTAGTTGGAAATTTACAGTGTAAGTTGAACAAATAGAGACTGCAGCTCTGCAGCTTCTCAAGATTAAAGCGGAGCTACGTGTGTAAAAAAGTCCAGATAGGTGCTGGAAGGTGTGCCCAAAAGTGGCTCAGACTAAGCATTATTACATTACCTTATTCTTGGACATTCACTCTCCCAAAATGTGTCCAGTGGTCACATATTGAACCTATATCGAACGTCCACAATTAAGTCGATGTTGGTTTGACCTAATGGTTTTGATACAGACATGATGTTTACGTTTTACATTTTTGATGTATGTTGGCTAGAGCTGCTCTACGGCTCCACCACTGAGCAAAGTGTTTGGAGATGTATGGGATGAGAAAAAAGCTTAAGTTGATTTGGGAAATGTCATTTAGCCGGTTTACATAATGAAGCATTTTCATACAATATCCAACACTGTTGTCTGTGGTTATGTATCTGATTTTTGTTTCTGATGTGCTCTGTGTTACAGTGGTACAGAGTCAGAACAGCTGGGGAGTGACTTACACCTCTACTCAGATCTGTGCCTTAAAAGGATCAACAGTGGACATAAACTGTACCTATACATATCCATCTACAATAAATTATCGTGATACCAAAGTTCAGGAAACATTCTGGTTTACGAAAGAGAGTAATAACGTTTATGTGGATCTGAGAACAGACTCAAAGTATTCAGGTCGTGTGGAGTATATTAGTCAGAACAAACGCTGCACTCTGAGAATCACCGACCTGAGAGAGAGCGACTCAGCTGAGTACAAGTTCAGGTTCATAACAAACCAACCAGGTGGGAAATATACTGGTTTACCTGGAGTCACTCTGTCTGTCACAGGTAATATTAAGGTTTCTTAATTTAGTTTCAAATGTTAAGCATTAGAAATACCACTGCTTATATGTAGTTACAGCAGTGCATAAGTACGTGCTCACAATCACAATATTAACATGTGGATTTTAAGTATGTTTAACATGTTCACCATCTTAGTTTAGTGTGTTAACATTCTAACATTTGCTAATTAGCATTAAACACAATGTAAAAGCTCAGGCTAAAAGTGGTAATAAATTGTGCAAATATTTGGAGTATTTGACTCATTTTGACCTGGTGATGGTGTTAGATTAAAAGTTAATTCCATTCCGAGTAGGACATGAATGTCTGTACCATATTTCATAGAAGTCCTTTAAAGTGAGACATTTGGCTTGAAACTAAAAATGTGAACCTCACAGTGACGCTAGATGAAAATTTCAGGGAATAACTAAAGTCAAAAGATATCATCCAATAAGGAACATTCATGTTTGTGCAATGTTTCATGAAAATCCATCCAATACTTGTTGAGACCATCCCTATACAAGTTATATTAATGAATTAGTAATGAAGAAGAACTTTTGATTTTGATTACATGATATTCAGTACTTGGATAATCAATCAAAAGTTTAAGTAATGCAATTTTTTAAACACTAGAGTCCCACTGTGTTTACTGTTAGTTGTTTGGATGTGTGTTTTTTAGTAACCAGTGACTTTGTGTACTTCCTAACATGTCCAGCTCTCCAGATGCAGGTGACCAGAATAACAGTCAATCAGTCTTACACCAAGGCAGAGCTGAAGTGTGACAGTAGCTGCAGTCCAGATAGTGCACTCTCTTACGTGTGGTTCAAAAATGGACAGAAAGTTCCTGAAGAAACTTCTTCTTATATAGGCCAGTTGTATCCTGGAGACAATATCTCCTGTGCTTTGAAAGGACACGAGGGATTCCGTTCTCCTCCACTGTGTGAGTTCACTTCATTGTCATAAACAAAATGTCAAATGTTTACCCATGGTAACAATTTGGATGACCAAGAGGGAATCAACATCCACTACCCTGTTTGTTTAATATTTGATTATTGTGTTTTATCAGTTGTTCAAACTTTATGCAAACTATTGGCTGTATGAACTTTCACTGTGAAGATGCTAAACCTATTTTACCTCCAGATGCTCCAAAGCTTCCCTCTGTGTCAGTGAGTCCCTCTGCTGAGATAGTGGAGGGCAGTTCAGTGACTCTGACCTGCAGCAGTGATGCTAACATACTAGCTAATCTTACCTGGTACAAGACAAATCTTAATTCAGAAAAACTTCTCAGCAAAGAACCAAAACTTGTCTTCAGCTCCATCCAGTCCTCTGACTCTGGAGAGTATTACTGTGCAGCTGAGAACCAGCTTGGGAGGAGGACAACTAAATACATCATTGATGTGAAATGTGAGTAAAACAGCTTATTTTATTTAAATTTGTCAGGCAGTTTTTTCCTGCAGTTCTGAGTAGCTCTAATAGATGTTTGAAGAACAGTTTTAGCATCCAGATTTGCCCTTCTGTGCACTTTTGTCACACAATCGCTATAATATAGTTATTAAAATATATGTGGCACTAAAGCTACACATCTTCCTTTCCATCAGAGCAGGGACGTCCCTCTCTAACTTCAAGAAGCTCTTGAAACTAATCTCTTCCGAGAACACTTCCTCTTATAACACCTCTAACCTTCCCTTTCCAGTGCTCTTCTTCTTCTATCCCCTTAAAATTATCTTGTAATTCTTTTTTGTTAACTCTCACTTTCCCTATATATTGATGTGAGATGTGCTATTAGCTCTTAGTAGTATTTATTGCTGCTCTTACTAGTATGTATTGTCAGTTGTAGATCTTGTGCTGTATTTCATGCTTTCTTGATGCTTGTATGTTGTTTCTTAAATGTAAGTCGCTTTGGATAAATACGTCTGCTAAATGAATAAAAGTAAATGTAAAATGTTACCACATTTCTTCCAGATGCTCCAAAGCTTCCCTCTGTGTCAGTGAGTCCCTCTGCTGAGATAGTGGAGGGCAGTTCAGTGACTCTGACCTGCAGCAGTGATGCTAACCCAGCAGCTAATTATACCTGGTACAAGGAGAACCAAACACTGATTCAGGGACCAGAAGGCATTTATCGTTTCACCTCCATCAGCTCTGAGGACAGAGGGATCTACTACTGCAGGTCTAAGAATCCATATGGACAGATAAACTCTACATCTCTATCGTTAAATGTCCAGTGTAAGTATAAAATGTTGGTAGATGTCTCAACCCAACACTGAGCCAGGGAGAACCAGAGGGAAAGTTGAGCCACTGGTTGTGTTTAATCAATTTTATTCCTTACGATGGAAGGAGGGACATGAAAATAATGTTTTGTACACTTTTCTTCCAAATGAACTGCATCAGTGTCAGCTTTATTTGCCACCTACAACATACAAGGAACAGACACAGTTGCAAGGAACATTTCAGGAAGGTATATAACTATTATGTACATACAGGTGGAAATGGATGCACATAAATATATATTCAAAAAGTACAATGTCTATATTCAGGCAAATCTGACTCTGTAAATTGTGAACTAGTATACAAATAGTGGGTGTGTAAAAGTGCGAGGATTGCTGGAATATATTATAAATGGTTAATGTAACTTTATATGCACACAGTGTGTGTTTATGTACAGTTTATGCATGTATGCTCATCTATATATATAATATGCAGAGTGCATTGATTTTCATTTTATTTATTGTTGAAGAAGTCATCATACTTGTGTCTGAAAAATCATACACAGTTTATTTTACATAGATTACAGCTTTAGAAGGCTATAGTATAACGTTTAAATATCTCTTCATTATGATGCAAATCAATGGAAACATTATGGCTGAGATTAAGCTAATCATAATATATAGGCAAGTAGATCCTGTCACAGTCTCTAGATAATTAGTGTGAACTTGATTTACTCAGCCATGGTTTAGTTGTATAGAGCAGTGGTTCTCAGAATGGGGTCTGGGAACTCCCAGGGGTCCTTGAGGGGATTCCTGGGGGTCCCCAGATAAAAGGGGAATCATTTATTATTACTGTAATTCCATCCATAAGTAACACAGTGATGGAACATATGACTATTTTGGTAGTGGGTTTTATAAACTTTATCCAATAAAACATCAAAAAGCCGAAATCCTATCAGATGGGCAATCCTGGCAATGTAAAAGCAACATGTCTTGTGCTTCATCTGCTACGGACTCTTCTACAAAGCCATGTAACAAGCAAATACAATATATTTCTCATGGAGGTCCTTCCATATTGTGAATGCAAATTTTAATGAAATATATATTTTTACATATTTTCCACCAGATGCTCCAAAGCCTCCCTCTGTGTCAGTGAGTCCCTCTGGTGAGATAGTGGAGGGCAGTTCAGTTAATCTGACCTGTAGCAGTGATGCTAACCCAGCAGCTAATTATACCTGGTACAAGGAGAACCAAACACTGCTTCAAGGACCAGAAGGCATTTATCGTTTCACCTCCATCAGCTCTCAGGACAGAGGCATCTACTGCTGCAAGTCTGAGAATAAATATGGACAAATCAATTCTACATCTCTATTTTTAAATGTCCAGTGTAAGTACAAAATATTGATAAAAGTATTAACCTAACACTGAGTTTACAGTTAGGGAGAACCATTGGGACATTTGAGCCACTCATTGTGTTTCATCTATTTATTTTCCTTATGATGGAGGGAGGGAAAGGAAGTTAGTGTTTTGTGCACTTAACTTTAAAACATTACTTTTCTTCCAAATGAACTTTATTAGTATCAGCAGTTTAAACATGCGTATCGCACATTTATTACAACTTTATAAAGTAAAATATCTCTTTTTCTTTAATTTCATTATGATGCAAGTCATTGGAAATATTATGGTTGAGGTTAAACTAGTCAAAAGGTTAAGTAAAACTGATCATGTCATAATCTCAAGACAACTAGTGTGAACTTGATGCACTCAGCCATGGTTTAGTTGTATAGAGAGACAAAACCTCAGTGATACTGTAGCAATAAAGTGCATGTTTTTTTCACATTAAAAATTTAATTAAAGCAATGTAAAAGCAACATGTCTTGTGCTTCATCTGCTACTGACTTTTCTACAAAGCCGTGTAACAAGCAAATACAATATATTTCTCATGGAGGTCCTTCCATATTGTGAATGCAAATTTTTATGAAATACATATTTTTACATATTTTCCACCAGATGCTCCAAAGTTTCCCTCTGCGTCAGTGAGTCCCTCTGGTGAGATAGTGGAGGGAAGATCAGTTAATCTGACCTGTAGCAGTGATGCTAACCCAGCAGCTAATTATACCTGGTACAAGAAGAACCAAACACTGATTCAGGGACCAGAAGGCATTTATCGTTTCACCTCCATCAGCTCTCAGGACAGAGGCATCTACTGCTGCAAGTCTGAGAATAAATATGGACAGATCAATTCTACATCTCTATATTTAGATGTCCAGTGTAAGTACAAAACAAACATCATGTCTTAAACCAACACAGAGTTTACAGTCAGGGGGAACCAGTGGGAACATTTGAGCCACTCATTGTGTTCCATCTATATATTTTCCTTATGATGGAGGGCTGGACATGAAGTTAGTGTTTTGTGCATTTAACTTTAAACCATTCCTTTTCTTCCAAATTAACTTTATTAGTATCAGCTGTTTTTGCCATGTATGTGTTCACATACAATGAATTTGATTCTGGTTTTTAGTGGTTCTTAATGTATTTACACAGTTGCAAGGAACATTTTGTAGTAAGATAGATATAAACAAGAATAAAGCTGAAAACAAGGACAACAGAGCTGAACAAATATAGTTAAACCAAAAAATATAACTATTATGCACATATAGGGGAAAATGCATATATAAATATGGTTTTAAAAGTACAGTGTCTGTATTCAGGTGAGAATACAAATAATGCATGGCTTTATGAAAGTGTGAGGAGTGTTGGAATAAATTATGAATATTGTAATAGGTTACTTTCTATGCATACAGTAGGTGGTTATGTACAGTATACATGTATGGACATCTATGCGTTATCATGAAGGCTGAGTGCAACGGCAGGGAAACAGAGATGTGGACCCAAAATGCAGACTCTGACAAGGAGGAAGCACCTTATAGTGATTTATTAATTGAACAAAAAACAGGCTTATGTCCGAACATGAGGCAAGAGTCCAAAAACAGGTGAAAATCCAACAAAGGCAGAGTACAAATCCAAAAACACAGGGAATAAGCCAGAAAAGAGGGAAACAACATGTCTTGTGCTTCATCTGCTACTGACTTTTCTACAAAGCCGTGTAACAAGCAAATATTTCTCATGGAGGTCCTTCCATATTGTGAATGCAAATTTTAATAAAATTTATATTTGTACATATTTTCCACCAGATGCTCCAAAGTTTCCCTCTGTGTCAGTGAGTCCCTCTGGTGAGATAATGGAGGGAAGATCAGTTAATCTGACCTGTAGCAGTGATGCTAACCCAGCAGCTAATTATACCTGGTACAAGAAGAACCAAACACTGCTTCAAGGACCAAAAGGCATTTATCGTTTCACCTCAATCAGCTCTCAGGACAGAGGCATCTACTGCTGCAAGTCTGAGAATAAATATGGACAGATCAATTCTTCATCTCTATATTTAGATGTCCAGTGTAAGTATAAAACATCGATACATGTCTTAAACCAACACAGAGTTTACAGTCAGGGAGAGCCAGTGGGAACATTTGAGCCACCCGTTCTGTTTAGTCTATTTGATATGAAGTTAATGTACTGTGCATTTAACTTTAAAACACAAATTTTCTTCCACAGGAACTGTATCAGTATCAGCTTTATTTGTGATGTACATTCAAAGAATTTGACCGTGGTTTCTAGTGGCTTTCAATGTCCTGGCACATGCAAGATACTGTTAAAAATACGACTAAAAACAAGAACAACAGAGCTGAACAAAGAGAAGCAAACATAAATACATTACACTATTATATATATATATGAGTACAACGTCTAAATTCAGGCACAACTTTTTCTGTAAATTGATTCTGTACATGTATATAAATAGTGAATGGGTTTGTACTAGTGCAGGGAGTGCTGAAATGAATTATGAATGGGTAATGTAATATGTTGTCTATATGTATACAGCAGGTTTTTATGTACAGTATATTAATGTATGCTCATTTATATATAGTAGATGCGTAGTGCTTAGATTTTCATGTATAACACATGTATTACAACTTTACAAAGCCATAGTACAAAGTTAAATATCTCTTTATCTATAATTTCATTATGATGTAAGTCACTGGGATTAATATGGCTGAGTTTAAACTAGTCTACAGGTTAAGGCAAGTTGATCCTGTCTGTCCTGTCTATCAATCTATAAACAATGTGAACTTGATTCACTCATCAAGTTGTATAGAGAGACAAAACATCAGTGATACTGTAGCAGTCCCATTAAAAATACATTAAAATGAATACAGAAGCAACATGTTTTGCTTCTGACTTTCTACAAATCAGTGTAACAAGAAAATATATATATGGAAGTCCTTCCATATTGTGTGTGCAAATGTTATTGAACATTCCCCCAGATTCTCCAAAGCTTCCCTCTGTGTCAGTGAGTCCCTCTGCTGAGATAGTGGAGGGCAGTTCAGTGACTCTGACCTGCAGCAGTGATGCTAACCCAGCAGCTAAATACACCTGGTACAAGGAGAACCAAAGACTGATTCAAGGACCAGAAGGCATTTATCGTTTCACCTCCATCACCTCTGGGGACAAAGGAATCTACTACTGCAAGTCTGAGAATAAATACGGACAGATCAACACTTCAACTGAATTTATAGATGTCCAGTGTAAGTCATGTGATTGACAAGTTTATTGTAACGACACAAAAGTCTGCCTGTATCATGCATGCAAACATGAATCAAATGTATTCGTCTATTGTCCTCCAGATGCTCCAAAACTTCCCTCTGTGTCAGTGAGTCCCTCTGCTGAGATAGTGGAGGGCAGTTCAGTGACTCTGACCTGCAGCAGTGATGCTAACCCAGCAGCTAATTATACCTGGTACAAGGAGAATGAAGACTCACCAAAAGCTTCAGGAAAGAACTTCACCATCACACACTTTATAGCTGAATACAATGGGAATTATTACTGCGAAGCCCAGAACAGAAGAGGACGTCTTAAGTTCACCTTATATCTAGCTGTTAAGGCTGGTAAGTTTTTCCATTGCATCTGATGCTTGTAGTCTGCAGCCCCACATTCTTTATAATACTTTTTTTCACTTAGTAGAAAAGTAGACATGTAAAAGGATGGGTGTCTGTATCTGCGTTAAGAAAAAACATATTTATTGTAAGGATTTTAAGTAGTAAGTACTCTTCAGCTCAAACACCCAGTAACACCCCGATTAACTACAGTGTTTTCATTTTATTCCATTTTCCAGAACAATGGATATTAATATCTGCTGGAACAATCCCTGCTATTTTAATTCTCGTACTACTCATAGTCATCTCTGTCATCCTCTGGATTAGGTGAGCATCAATCATTGTTTAGTCAAATATTGAACAATAATCAGTCATTTTGAGAAGTAAATTCTACAATTAATTCATTTGTCAATTTATTTTTTGCATTCGTTCTCCCAACCAGGAAAGACAGGACCACTAAGCAACCGCCTGAGCCTAAAGACAAACCAGACGGAAATCCACAGGTGAGTGAGATCAGCACAAAATATGGTTCCACATTTAACACAGCAATGGAAAGTGAAGTAATTACAGTAATACCCCAAGGACAGATACGATATCAACAACTAGACAGGAGAAACTATCAGCACTTGCTTTTCATAGTTCTGATTCATTCTTCTTCTTATGCAAGCTAAAACTTTTCAACCTCATCTTTAAAGAGTGACAGCAGGGAGAAAACATCACTGAGTTTCTAAGAAAGCTGATTGACAATTGTATTTAATTTAAGATCTACCAAAGTGTAACATTTCTTGTCCTAAAAATCCTCTCCACTAGTGTTTTAAGTTAGTGTCGGCCACACAAATATACAAGTAATCTTATTTGTCTAATGTCTATAGAAACAACCAGCAGAGGATAACATTCATTATGCCAGCGTCCACTTCTCTAAGAAACAAGCAGATCCCCTCTACTCCAATATCACACCATCTCAGCCCCAAAGACAAGAGGTTGAAGAGGAGGAGGACAGTGTGGTGTACACAACTGTCAAATATAACAGTGACAATACTGCCCCGAAGTGAGCAGCTCTTCATCCAGGAACATCATCGTCATTATCAGAGTTGTGGCCTTTTCTTTGGTGCCTTTTGATTAAAAAATCAGAATTGAAAAGGGTTTTATCAAGTGGTTCCTGCTGCTGTATTCTGCCCCACAGAAAATAATTTGTGTCAGTAGTCACATAGATCTTAACCTTTTGCCACTGATAGAATGACATGCAGGAGTGCCCTATGTCACTACTTCTGTTTGTGATTAGCTTTGAGCAGTTGTTACACATACAGTAGTGTCACACTGGGATTAATGCTGTTTTCTTGTACAAGTGGCCAACAGATAATATAAAACACCTGGACAACATCATGTCTCAGATACATTTTGCAAATTAAAATATACCATAAATTATTTGATTTCTGAACCCTAACAGTAAAGTTCAGCTTCCTTTTATACACTGTTGAGTAGAATAAGTGTTGAATGTGTGGCCTAGGCCCCTCTTTCAAACTTAGCTTGTCAATTAACGGTAATGACAGTTTGGTTTACAGATAGAACAGATACAAGATGATTAAATGGTTGTCATGATTTATCCACTAACCTTCTGTCTATACTGGTCATAATGTGATCCCTTGCCACCAATATTCAAGATAAAGGACAAAACCAACAGTCTTCAAAGAGGGATTTAGCTTAGTCATACTGCTGAAGCACCTTATTAGCTTCAGCTGAGCTTTACAATGTATTTTTGCACAGAATGTATTTTGCAGACCATGGATTTTATCCTCGATCTCTAACGCTGGAGTTGGAGTAGGAGAAGATAATTTCACAGCCAGTATGGAGAGAAAGAATGACCACAGTGACTATCAACACACATATGAGAATGAGTGTTGTCATCTTTTTGAGTAGCCTACATTTCTCTCTTTTTGTTTAATATATGTCTTTTAGGTTAATGATCACAACTGGTTTTGTAATGTCCACTGCAATACCATCACAACTTCTGCTACCTTCTATAAACATACACTTTCACATTCTATATACACTCACCTAAAGGATTATTAGGAACAGCTGTTAAATTTCTTATTAATGCAATTATCTAATCAACCAATCACATGGCAGTTGCTTCAATGCATTTAGGGGTGTGGTCCTGGTCAAGACAATCTCCTGAACTCCAAACTGAATGTCAGAATGGGAAAGAAAGGTGATTTAAGCAATTTTGAGCGTGGCACGGTTGTTGGTGCCAGACGGGCCGGTCTGAGTATTTCACAATCTGCTCAGTTACTGGGATTTTCACGCACAGCCATTTCTAGAGTTTACAAAGAATGGTGTGAAAAGGGAAAAACATCCAGTATGCGGCAGTCCTGTGGGCGAAAATGCCTCGTTGATGCTAGAGGTCAGAGGAGAATGGGCCGACTGATTCAAGCTGATAGAAGAGCAACTTTGACTGAAATAACCACTCGTTACAACCGAGGTATGCAGCAAAGCATTTGTGAAGCCACAACACGCACAACCTTGAGGCGGATGGGCTACTACAGCAGAAGACCCCACCGGGTACCACTCATCTCCACTACAAATAGGAAAAAGAGGCTACAATTTGCAAGAGCTCACCAAAATTGGACAGTTGAAGACTGGAATAATGTTGCCTGGTCTGATGAGTCTCGATTTCTGTTGAGACATTCAGATGGTAGAGTCAGAATTTGGCGTAAACAGAATGAGAACGTGGATCCATCATGCCTTGTTACCACTGTGCAGGCTGTGGTGGTGGTGTAATGGTGTGGGGGATGTTTTCTTGGCACACTTTAGGCCCCTTAGTGCCAATTGGGCATCGTTTAAATGCCACGGCCTACCTGAGCATTGTTTCTGACCATGTCCATCCCTTTATGGCCACCATGTACCCATCCTCTGATGGCTACTTCCAGCAGGATAATGCACCATGTCACAAAGCTCCAATCATTTCAAATTGGTTTCTTGAACATGACAATGAGTTCACTGTACTAAAATGGCCCCCACAGTCACCAGATCTCAACCCAATAGAGCATCTTTGGGATGTGGTGGAACGGGAGCTTCGTGCCCTGGATGTGCATCCCACAAATCTCCATCAACTGCGAGATGCTATCCATCAATATGGGCCAACATTTCTAAAGAATGTTTTCAGCACCTTGTTGAATCAATGCCACGTAGAATTAAGGCAGTTCTGAAGGCGAAAGGGGGTCAAACACAGTATTAGTATGGTGTTCCTAATAATCCTTTAGGTGAGTGTACATCTGATTTTGTTCTTTATGCAATACTGTTGTATTAACATTCATGCCAATAAAGCAAATTTCATTACCTGACTTCTTTTCTCCGTGAGATAGAAGAATTTAGAAAGTTGCGTGGTGCTGCGGAGAGTCCCCAGCTGCAGTAGTGCAGGGATCACGCATAAAATGTATCCAGCCAGAGGGAATGATCACCAGTTCACAGCGCGCCGGGAGGGAATGGGGGAGTTGGAGCGTAAAGGGCCAGAGTCAGGAGTTTGCAGAGCAACAGGTCACTGTGCGGACGGTCGGTGATTGTTCCCCCTGACTGGATGAAGCACGATCTGTTGGCATTTCCTCGCATCCGGGTCATTGCAGCATACTGTAGGGGAGACCGGGGGGCAATTGTAACACACTCAATTTCTCCAATCAGAAACAAGCTAGAGTGATGACAATTAATCAGCACATGCTAAATAGGATTCTCTCAATGCCTGTGGAAAAGGAGCAGGATCATTTCACCTTAGCAGATGTTTTAAACAAAATACTGATTTTGAGGTATGAAAGTAACTTTTTGGATGTGCAGTATTTTCCTTCTGGTGTCTAAAGTTTAGATGACTGTAAATCTAAACTTGCATACATATCTAGGTCATTGATTAACAATTAACACTAACAAACTATAGTTGTGGCTAGCAGGCATACAAGATTTTATCATGGCTGCAACTTCGGGGGCTTGGGGGCAATTGTAACACTGTGTTACAATTGCCCCCTAGCCACATGGCCCAGTGTTAGCAGCTTGTCTGTCTGTTTTGAAAATAGACATATTTCACTAAATATAAATGTAAAACCATATTAAAAAAGGGTGTATTAAAAGAAATGGATTTGTTCTAGTATAAACAAATAACCAATTAACATAGGCCAACATTCTTTGTATAAAATAGTGTGTGTTTTAAATGTGTTTAACAGAAAGTGTGAATATTATATAGGCCTAGGTCTGCAAAAGTAGTGGACTTAGTTGATTATAGTTATTGAAGTAGTTGATGGTATAAGACCCAGCAAAACCAAAGAGAATTATTAGCTGTAAAGTAATTATTTTGAGGTAGCCTAGGCTTTTACTTAAGATGCAGTGGGTTAATATGACTTATTTTTCAATTGCCCCCACACACTGCAACAATTGCCCCCGCCAAGGGGGTCTTCTTCCTATAAGTGAAAATATATCAATTGTATCATTAATTAGTGCACATATATATGTTTCTTGTGTCAAAAGATGACTAGTGTATCTCAAGTAGTTTGTGAGTTATTAAGGAAAATGTAAAATATGTTTCTGCTGGCGTTTCACAAAGCAGTTTTTCAGGTGTGCTGTATTTAGTGCAATCTTATGCAGGATGGGCCGATACATACAGTTTCCACATACTCGGGACTCAATGAACGAAACAAACCAAGGTTTTTACGCAGTGGCTGCTTTCCATCCCGACTCTCCATGGTGGAAACCATTAAAACACGCAAAACCCTCATTTAAATACTGCCACCTCCGTTGTGTTTGCTCCTGTTGTCATCTACACAATAATTCTTAGTAAATCACCAATATCAGGTAAATTCAATTGCACGTGCAATATTTTAGAATTCACACACAATTTAGTACTCTTTATTCAGGATGTTAGTAAATCGGGCCCAAAGTGTAGTAGGGGAGACCGGGTAGGGTTGTAACATCTCCAATTCCACCAAATAGAGATAAGATAGGAGTTAGGTGATCATTTCAGTATTTACCTGCTTCTTTCCCGATCAAGCATGGTGGTTATCAAGTCTGGAAAGAGGAGTATTCAGAATATATGGGGGGAAAAAATTATTTTGAGGTAAGAAAGTAAAGACTATTTTTTGTTTAGTGTCTATACTGTTGCAGATAGAATTGTTTGATTTATATTAGATTGAAATATAGTTTCTTAGGCAACATGTGATGCATTTTCTCCTTTCAGGTTTCAAACCACTATGGTAATACCGCTAGCTAAACATTGGCTGAAAGTGGTGGGGTGGCTTGTCTTCTTTAAAAAGTGTTACAACCATCCACGATACATAAAGCTAGGTACGTTCTTGATTTTAATATTTTACAGAGTGCCCTTTGCAGTCTGGATCCACCAAACCTGCACTACAGGGTTACCATCATTAATTTGTCAGCATTGTGAACAGCACTCCCCATTCACATGCTGTACACATGTTGCCGTGTGTATTGTCACTGGACCTTTTCCCTACTTGGTCTCCGCCGGTGGAGAGGGTAGAAATGTGTACGGGCAGCTAATGAGAAATATGATATGATAAAATACGAAACGCCAAAGAGTAAAATATAGAAGTGCTGGAATAAGCACTGACTATGACTCTGAATAAGAATATACACACATGAACACACACACACACACACACACACACACCTCTTTTTTGTTAGACCTAAGGATGTACAGAGATGATTAATTACACTTTAGTAGTGTTTATTAAGTATATTTTTAAGTAAGTTTATTCTATAGATAAATTTACATACACATACTGTACATGCGGGTGAGTCATCAGACAAAGTCTGTTAAGCAGAGTGAAACATTGTTCTTAGATATCACTACCTGTTTTGGAAGCATATCATATAGTGTGGCATCTATTTTTGATTATTTTGTGTGATTGTTACAACTTATCTTGCTATCGGGGTAGGATGTAACAAGTGAACATTATTGCATTTGACATCAACTCACAAGGTCTGTGATATCCTAGTAGGGGATTGAATTGGTGCCATTTGTAGTGAACAAATGTGGGTACTTTGTATACAAATTTGAAAACTCTAGCAAAACATTCAGTGAGTTATAGTTACTGAAACAAAAAGTCCCCTAAAGTACCTCCAGCTGCTGGCCTTGGTGTCAGCACATGATGTTAAGGCAGACTCCAAACTGAGCCTTACCTACAGGTTGCTTGTGACTTTTTGGAGCCCATACTAATATAGTTCATCTACTTGAACTCATGGTGGTATAAAGGCAGATCTTTTAAGCAATCTGATGTGTCAAATGATGCATCATACATGAGTCACACGTCTGTCCAGCCACAATTAGAGGGGGGACTGGGTACAAGGGGGTCAATTTTCTGCTATTTGATACATATATTCAAAGTCTTGGGTGGTCATTTTAAAACTTCACTAAACCAGTTTTGTAGCTCAGTAATCTCCCAATTTATATTAGGGTGAAAACTGATTCGATTGTAAAGATTTTAATGTCAATTATTTGAGCTGTTGAAAATTACACTCACTTATTCATTTACTTCTATACCAGCTAGACTGCTGCCACCTTTGAAAAAGAGCTAAATATTATCTGCCTCTCCCAGAAATCTTCACTGGCATACATTCACATGAAATGACACCAGAATCAGGGTCAATTACTTGTAGTTGCAGTAACTTCAACACTCATGAAACTGTGAAATTATAGCCAGTACAATTGTTTGTTGTAACTTCTGCTTTTTAAATTACCATAATAAGGCAATATCATCCATGTGCTCTCCTGAGTAGTGGATTTAAGTGAAACCTTATGCCAAACACAAACACACACACTTTTTCTGTCAAATGTCTATGGACACTTCTTCCTATACAGGCCAGGTTTATCCTGGAGACATCATCTCCTGTTCTTACAAAGAGCATAACGATTACTGCTCTCCCCAGGTTTATTTCACTTTGTCATCAGCTTCCACCCAAGGAAACAATAGAGCATTTGTGTGTCATAAAGGTGGCCCAGACGTGAGTCGGGTTCCCAAACACATCAGAACACAAAGAAAAAAAGAGGAAGCTATTCAATGCAAAAAAAGTAAATGAAAATATCAAATTGGTACATTATGTCCACAAATCAGGAACTTGAGGCACTCTTCCTCCAAGAGTGCTAAGTTTAAAATGGGTCACAATAC